GATAGATGGATAGATGGATAGATGGATAGATGGATAGATGGATAGATGGATAGATGGATAGATGGATAGATGGATAGATGGATAGATGGATAGATGGATAGATGGATAGATGGATAGATAGATAGATAGATAGGTGGAAAAGTGGATAGGTTGATAGATGGATAGGTGGATAGGTGGGTGGATGGATGGATGGATGGATGGATGGATGGATAGTTAGATAGAATTGTTTCCATTTTGTTGGTTGTTTGTATCAAATTTATAAATAATGAAACTAATTTTCGTTTAATTTTTCTAGGTCAAGTTCGGTATCTATAAAGATGGAGCAATGCAACAATTTCTTGTTTTCAATGGGACCTCATCAACATTCATGAGCTGGTTCTCGCCCGACACGCTCATTTACAGTTCTTGGACGGACCTCCCGCTGTCTCCTACTTCATTTTTCAGCGTCATGGGCTGTGACAGCCCGGGAGTCCAACGCCGATTCTACGTCGAGTACGCCCACGTTGGATGTGACTGGGACAGTGGTTGGTTCGGGTGCATTGACCAGGTCGGGGACAACTGCGGTTGGGGAATGAGAGCACCTGCTTTCCCACGCTTTCTTTATTCTCAAGAAACCACAAGAGCCACTAACCTCAATATGATGTCTGCAGATGTCGTTGCTATTTTTATCAAATTTTGAGCATTGAACTTTACCTCATGCTAAGTGTATTCAAACCACGGTACACGCGATTGCCTTCAAATCAAATAACAAACACGGGTTTTCGAACTAAATTTAAAACACTTGATTTCAAACAATTTAAAAAGAAAAAAAAACTTAATTTCGATTCATAAAATTCTCAATGCTTTCAACCCATATTGCATACTCTTGCTTTCAAACCATACTGCGTACTATTGCTTTCAAACCATATTGCATGCTCTTAGTTTGAAACCATTGGCATTCTCTCGCCTTCAAACCATATTTGATGCTCTTGCTTTCAAATCGTATTGCATACTCTTGCCTTCAAACGTTATGGCATGCTCTTGCTTTCAAACCTTATTGCATTGTCTTGCTTTTAAACCATATAGGACGCTCCTGCTTTGTAACCGTATTAGATGTTCTTGCTTTCAAACAATATTGCATGCTCTTGCTTTCATACCATTTTAGATGCTCTTGTTTTCAAACCATATTGAATTAAACCATATTTAAACCATATTGGATGTTCTCGCTTTCAAACCTTATTGCATGCTTTTGCTTTCAAACCATATTGCATACCATTGCTATTAAACCTTATTGCATGCTCTTGCTTTCAAACCTTATTGCACGCTCTTGCTTTCAAACCATCTTGGATGCTCTTGCATTTTAAACTTTATTGCATACTCTTGCTTTCATACCATTTTAGATGCTCTTGTTTTCAAACAATATTGCATACTCTTGCTTTCATACCATTTTAGATGCTCTTGTTTTCAAACAATATTGCATACTCTTGCTTTCATACCATTTTAGATGCTCTTGTTTTCAAACAATATTGCATACTCTTGCTTTCATACCATTTTAGATGCTCTTGTTTTCAAACAATATTGCATACTCTTGCTTTCATACCATTTTAGATGCTCTTGTTTTCAAACAATATTGCATACTCTTGCTTTCATACCATTTTAGATGCTCTTGTTTTCAAACAATATTGCATACTCTTGCTTTCATACCATTTTAGATGCTCTTGTTTTCAAACAATATTGCATACTCTTGCTTTCATACCATTTTAGATGCTCTTGTTTTCCAACAATATTGCATACTCTTGCTTTCATACCATTTTAGATGCTCTTGTTTTCAAACAATATTGCATACTCTTGCTTTCATACCATTTTAGATGCTCTTGTTTTCCAACAATATTGCATACTCTTGCTTTCATACCATTTTAGATACTCTTGCTTTCAAACAATATTGCATACTCTTGCTTTCAAATCATATGTATTTATTTATTTAGGCATTTTTATATAGCGCTTATCATAAAGCTCTAAGCGCTTTACAATTATTAAAACATGTAAACTAAGTAAATACAAATGAGATACTAGGATAGTAACTACTATTTTATAGAAACAATGAAAATGACTATAAAACGAGGACACTTTGACACTTCAGGATCAACCCGAAACAGAAAATGAGGTAGAGCAAGGAGGGTGCATCACAGGTCATAGGCGGACCTAAACAGATGAGTTTTAAGGGACTTTTTGAAAATGGACGAGGTTTCACTATGACGTATATGGAAGGGGAGCTGGTTCCAGAACGTGGGCCCATGGAAGCAGAAGGAGCGTTCACCGATGGTCTTAGTTTTAGTTCTTGGGATTGAGAGGGTTCTACTGTCAATGGAAGAACGTAGTTGTCTTGTGGGGATGTAAAAAAAAGAAAGATATTGCATACTCTTGCTTTTAAAATGCATTTTATGCTCTTGCTATCAAACTATTTTGGATACTCTTGCCTTTAAACCATATTTCACAACTATAATCAGTTGCTTTAAAGCCAAATTATGGGTTTTAGAGAGAGGGGGGGGGGTGTTGGTAAGAAAAAAAGAAAAAGGAGAGACAAAAAATTGATGAGTGTTTTCGTATACTTTTCTATCCTAGAATAAAAATATTGTAAGGAACTCTGCAGTCATTTTTTTTTATAAAGAGAAAAGAAACAGAAGGTAAAGAAACTTGCAAATAGATCAAATAAATACACACATAAACAAACGCAAATAACAAATAACGAAAGGAATAATATAAGGCTAATGTGAAATACAATGAACCTGGCAAACAGTTTTGGAGTTTGTCTTCATAGAGTTCATTTTTACGGCTAAATGGCATTTTTTACTATGACTCCCATAGCGGTGGCAAATGCCTTTTTGTGTGTGTGTGTCTGTATGGAAATTGTTTTCATGCAGTGGAAGTGCTCCTAACCTCAAGTCTAAATCTCGATCCTTGTACTTGACTTATAGCTATTTTTTTTTTTTATAAATCAGGCTAAATATTAACCTCTTCATGTTATTAACATTGAAACATGTTAAATATTATGACAATAATAAAGGTATCATTGTATTTGAAAAAATCACATTTGTGTGTGTGTGTCTGTATGGAAATTGTTTTTATGCAGTGGAAGTGCTCCTAATCTCAAGTCTAAATCTCGATCCTTGTACTTGTCTTATAGCTATTTTTTTTTTTTATAAATCAGGCTAAATATTAACCTCTTCATGTTATTAACATTGAAACATGTTAAATATTATGACAATAATAAAGGTATCATTGTATTTGACAAAATCACATGTGTTCCACTTATTAAGTATTTCATTTAGCATACATCATTTTTTTAAAAGAAAAAATAAATAGTTCTTCTCTGGTTTTTAAGTTTTAAATGCATTGAATGCGAATTTATTTATTTTAAAAATGGGGTTATTAGTTGTTGTTTTTTTTAAAAAGACTGTTTAAAGTTAACTAAGTTAACAAGAAGTTATAATTTAAAAAAAAAAAACAGAAATATCCCATTTATTATTATTATTATTAGGTTCTTTTATAAAGCGCAGTAGCCCAGCCTAGGGCCAGGCTCACTGCGCTTCACATAAAACTTAGCAAATACAGAAACCTATACATTTAAAAACAACAATTGGTGAAAGGCGTTGATGGTGCTATCAACTCATCATGTACACATATCATCATGTACACATATCTCTTCTAGGGGAAATGACACCTTAGATATTAAAACTGCTTTAAAAAAAAAAGAAAGATCAGCAGTATGTCACGCTTTGATTTACAACTTATAAAATAATTTATGCTTTAACAGAACCTTAATTGAACAATGTATTGTGTATTAAAAGATCTTGTTCAACATAGAAAGCACAAAGAAAGAAGATTGTATTCTTTTTTATGTGACTGTCTGTGGTTTGGATTTGCAGTTTAACAAACAAAACAAAAAAACGTACTGAGGTGACCAATAAAGTTACATGAAACTGCTAATATTTGATGGGTATTTTGACATATTAATTCTTATTAATCTTGGTGTTTAAAAAAAAAAAATCAAACTATGTCAAAAGAATCAGGACATTTGATAACGTAACTTTTGTCTTGATCCAATAAAAAGAAATGTATGTTTATAAAATTTTAAATGCAATCGTAAAAATCAGCGATATTTTTTTAGCTAACATAATAGCATAACCAGAGAAGGAAAGCATTTTATGTCATGTGATTGCATAACCATAGAAGGAAATATTTTTTAAAAGTAATAAGATTCTTGGAATTTTTGTTGAAAACTCAATTTATTGTCAAAGAGAAGACATGATTATTGGACAAAAAAAGAATTAAACTTATATTTATACAATCTTCCAAAACATCTTGCAGCTTGGTATCCAATTTTTCCGGGTGTATAACCAACGGTAAGAAAAAAGGTGTTGCCAGACATGGTTAATTTTAAAAACAAAATTATAATAAATTTAATTTTAAGGGCAATGAAACATATTAAAAACCAATTTGCTAAGCGTAATTATTTTCTTAGAAAAAGACAAATTTAACACGCCAAGGGACGTAGCTAACCTTTCAAAATCTCGTAACAACTGACAGATATACATCTAATAATTACACTTAAAGGCTCATTATTTAGTATATAAAACATACACAAACTATTTTAAAGGACAGTAACAAGGGCGACACATTGAGTAGCTTTTAAACCCAACTGACATAATATCATAGAATACTGTTTTATAAACAAAATTGCTGCCTCCTTTACGTCCGATGTTGCAAGCTGATGTGCGTTTAAGAGAAAGTGTGATGTCATAAATGTAGCATGGGGAGGACAGCCACCAATTAAGGTAATTAAGAACACAATAGAGAGCACGCAGGACTCAAAATCTTTTCTAAAATAAAATGAACATATCATAACGAAAATGATTCTTAAAATTGCCCTGGATGAAAGATATATTATAATGGAAAAAAATGATATAGTGTATTTTACAATATAGGGCAGACCATCACGTCGTATAAACGTGTGTGGCTAAATATTAATATCATTACACGATATCTTTACTGGCTAAACGCAGTGACTTACCCGTATCGCAACGATATATTTGTTTCAACATTGGTACAGTACAATTTGAAGTTGCCTCAGAACTATCAATCTTTTACCAACGAGGACACAAAAATTCAAAATTTGATGACTTAAAGGCAAGTGGTGACGATGATTATAAATGATAAACAATAATTAAACATGCGACTGTTTGCTGAACGTTACTCTAACGATGAGTTCATTTTGTTCAGACCGAGGAAACAGCTGATAAATTTGTTCAGACCGAGGAAACAGCTGATATCTTCTGGCCAAATGGTGGTGATCCTCATCAACGATCAATTAAGACCATGATGCATCCATATTTTCTCTATACATTTGCTCCAAATTTAAGAGCAACACTTGTCGCCATCTGGTCTCTACAAAATCATCGAAGCACCATTTGCGAAATATTTTCTATTAATTGGAGTAACGGGTGAAGTTTTCTGTTTGTGTGTTGATGTTGTTGTTGTTTTTTCCTCCAATCGCTTGGCAATTTCACTTCTGTCACGCCTCACAGAATGTTGCTCTGTCAAAGGAAAGACACACATAAAATCCTTGAGGACATACACTTTAATTAAATGACACAAAATATAGTGGGTTTTTTTTTTGAGGTATACAAATGAAAAATTAATGACAACAGTGTTCGACATTTTCCTGATATTGGACCATGAAAGATTTTTCTACATGTGGTTTGGACAAACTTTCAATATACGACATGTCTTTAGACAATATATTCACGGATGTATTCTTTAATTGCAAGTTTGTGGGATAATATCCCTACTTAAATGCCAGTTGACTTCCAGGTCAATAGGAGACTCGTGTTATTTCGGGGCAGCGGTCATTAGTTATGCCATTGGAGCATGCTGGGAAGGTTTTAAGTGTATTTTCGAAGGGGTATGAAGTGAACTTTAGTGCACTGGAGTGGATGGAATATTTTCGTTTATAAGCTGAAACAAGGCACAGATGTTTCATGTTACATTGGATGCCCAGTTTAATAACCCACTTGAACATTCGCTAATGCAATTTATCGACAAAAATATGAAAAATTCCAATATTGATTCAATGTTATGTTATGTAGAACGTGTTTACGGCACACTTTCCCCGTGATTTCAACTCTGTTTGACTCCCAAATTAGACTGCGTTCGTATTGAGCGTGGTCTATTTCTTTTGATCTTTTTTTTTACCACCAAACAATCTATCGCCTGTTTGTCTTGTCTCGAATATGGCACAAAATTGTCGTAAATTTTGGAAATTTGTAGAAGATTCGAGTCACGACTACAATGTATATTCTGCCCCCAAATCTTCTTAGAAACAGGCGATACCCATACATAAAGCCGGGGAATTGAAAGACGGGAGGAGATGGATTGATAGATATTTTTCACTTCACGAGACAAGTGTACTACTCTGGGTGTACTCATATGCGTTTATTAGCATTCAATTATTGTACCTTATTAATTGGAACATTGTACTTAATGCGTATTCTAACATCCCTATGTACTAACAGCCCATTATCTGTAAGTTGATGATTGTAATTGTATTTCTCTTGTTTTGTAATTATATTTATACTGAAATAAATCTTATTAATTCTGATTAGTACCGTTTTGAGAGTCGTATTTTTGCTATTGTATTTCCCTGTGTGATCGTCCTTTGTTGGCATTGCTCAGAACGAGCAAATAAATAACTAAAAATAAGAGAGTATTTCTCACTGTGGAAGGCAGTGAGTAACAGTTAAATAAACACGTCTTTCAATCAACTTAAAAAAGCAAAACACACATATGTATATATATATAATTTTTTACAAAAGATTATCAACTAAATTTTACTCACAATTGCATAAACAGTGAACCGATGAGTTATAGCCGTGTCACACGCGGGACATTTTCTTTGGTTGTAAGAACAGACGTCACACATCTTTAAATGAAGACATGGGTATGCAAGGCTTGAAATGCGTCTCTGTCGGCAGACACAACACAGGAGTAGATGTTCGATATCTTATAGATTCGGAAAAGTAAACAAAGTCACTCTAAGGAATCATAGTAACCTTATTATATCACAAAAGAATGCACACTCCATATGCAATAAGCACAATCCTTTTATCAGAACGATATATCAATTTGACATTATAGTTTTGTTTTACATTTTTACAGACACTCCGATGAAGAATATTTCTAAAAGAAACAAGGCAAGCATGATCTTTCTTGTGCTTTATACTCTCCCTTGACATATATTATTATCATAGTTACGTTTTAAATCTCTCAAAGTTTTAAACATTTGACTTCTAAAAATGATGAAAATGCGTCATCAATAATACAACATTCCCGTTTAAAAACAGGCGCTGAATTTTATGTCAATTTTAGCATGGGGTTTACATTGCACGGCTGCCTGACATTCGGGTTGATCTCTGCAATGGAGAACAAACGGACTCGGGCGTTTGGTGGCGGTCCTCAGCGTGTAGCCACATTCATAGCATGTCATACGCTTGTCCATACCTGTACGTGTGACAGATGTGTGTTTAACAAATTAAATTTTAAACCTGTTTATTTATCGTTCTATTGGCCAAATACGAATGTTGTGTTTCGATGGCTGTATGCTGAAGTCATAAGCGTTTCTGTACATAAATATCAATGTGGTAGGTGTTTCTATAGGGTGATGTAAACCCCCCCCCAACCTCACCCCCCCGGCCAACAAAAATTAATTATATTATAAATAAATTTATACGTATATTTTACTTTGTGTTGATCCATTTAAATTAGATACAATTGTAAGGAAAACATTTTATTGCATCTTAGGCTTGATAAAGAACATACAAAATTTATTCAACTAAAAATTATATGATTGTTTTAATTAACACTCATTAAATTTTTTAATGTAGTGTAATAGTAGTGTAATCATTTTTAAGATACAAAATTTCATTAATTGAGAAAACGTGTTTAGTGAAGTCAATTAATCTAACACCCCTCCCCTTTGTCAACAACTGTCAAAAATTTTCCCACCCCCCCCCCCCCCCAGTTTTTGTTGACATAATGAATGGACGACTCCATAGCTAAAATTATATATTTTGTTTGTTTCAGAAGCTACAATTGTATTTCAAAAAATTATGGCGGAGTTTCAGTAGCTAAAATTTCAATAAAATAATCACGAGGAAAGCACTTCAATAGCTAAATATTAATGATATATGTTATGTGGAAGCTATATTTTTTATTTGAAAAAGTTTTTCAGTAGCTGACATTACATGTATCAGTAACTTCAATCAAAATAAAATGAATAAAAACAATAGCATGTTTATTCTTATCGTTTCCTTGCATAAAGCGAGTGTTCATTTAATGGTGACAAATGCAATGTTCGAGTGAATACAACACAAACTGACCTTAGGCACATTTATTAATACACTATACAATCGGTTGACATATAATATGTATTGTTTCATCAAAGGACATTATACATAAATATGTGGTTTATTTTTTCATCCTTTTCTAGCGATCTAGGGTCACACTAAATTATTAAAAACAGAGTGAGAAACAAATGCAATTTCTTGGACCTTTTTAACGTGTAACAAATAATCTAAAATAATTATCATTGTTAATGTTGAATTTTTGTGTGTGGAGACTATTCCGTTTGTTTAGCGAGTTATTAAATTAAATTAAAAAAATATATAAACATACCCATAAAGAAAAATCCACCCTTAGCTAGTTCATTGGCGATGTAGGGCAACTGGGGCACATTCTGTAGTGTAAGCAAACGTTGTTCCATACTTCTCATGACAGGATGTGCCACTTTGATGGTAACAACTTTAGAATAATGCCCCATCTGATCGCCAGGTAAGGCGGGCCATGTCGTTAAGGGAATAGGCAAATCCTTGAAGGTATGCACTGCATGATGCATTAGTAATGAGTGATAGACTAATACATAGATTTCACAATTTAATCAATATAAATATGTGTTGGCCGAATGCTGTTTAACATTTCGAGGACAACTGATTTTGAACAAGTTTTCTCAAATTGGATCTTGTCTGTTTGTTAAATATCCCTCTTACAGGCTACATGCTGAATGACTTGTGTAAGATAGGCGATAAGATAAAAGTCAGGTATGCAAAATTATTTTAAGTTTTGACACCTTATTAATATATATATATATATATATATAATTATACAAAGGCTTATATAATAAATGTCTTTAAATGTTTAGCCGTAATTAATACACCTTTGAATGTGGAGATTCCTAGGTCCAGTTTCCGATCTAGACCAAAATGTGTCCATATGTCAAGAGAAAAGCCCTCTGGAGTTTTCCTCAGCTTTAAAATAGGGGACCCGCATGAGCCAGGACAAAGTGCAGGCGTGTACAGCAGGGCTTTCCTGATGCACTGGCCAGCTATCAGCGCTAAATTTCATCAAATTGAAACATTTTACAGGCTTATTTAAGCAGTTAATACATCTTCTGAATGTTTCAAATAGTTTGGATAATAAATGCTTTAATATGTTATGGTGATCAGATAGATTTAAGGTATCGAGTTAAATATGTGTTCATTGTGGATCAATTCCTTCAAAAAAAAAAGACAAAAAACCTAATTATAGGAAAACACGTGTTTAACCGAGTTACATACAAGTATTTTTTTTAAAAATGGTGTACCTACCATCGCAGCTTTGTCCAATCTTCATGATATTAGCTTCTGGTCGTCCATTGTTGGTAACGACCTTTATCCCGTAGTCCGCCTGCTTACATTTTTCAACACTCAAGACAATTTCCCGTCCATTGGATTGGACCAGAATACAGAACTGATGCGTCAAAGACTCTTTCATTTCTTCTGGCAATTGCCTCGCCATCATCGATAAAGAATTCTTCGTTTCCCGTATCAAATCTACGAGGCTGATATCCTCCGTCTCACAGACTAGAGTAATCATAAGATCTTCTGGTTCATTGCATCTTAAGATTTCTCGAGGTTTCAGCATTGCACATCTTCTACCCTTGTGGAAGACAGTTAGTGTACAGTTTTGTTCCTCGACTGTTGATTGAATCATGTTGCTGGTTATCTTCACGTGGACGACTCCGTACTGTCTGCCTGACCTTTCATGTATTGTTGGCATCTGTGTTAAAATATTTCCAGAGCCTTGTCGTAGTGTGCTATTTGGACCAGCTGTCTCGATATGAACAACAAGTTGCCCAACTTTTGATAGGAATCTTTGCATGTCTTCATTTCTGAATTTTATTGGCAAAGTACCCATCTTAATATGGGGTAGGCGGATGTCAGCAAAACCCCTTCTTTCGGTTGCTTCCCTTTCGTCTGGTAACAACTGAGCTATTTTTTAAAACGTTTACAAATATATATATGTATATAAAAAAATTGAAAAAGTAAAATTCAAAACTACCTAACAGAAATGAAAAAGGAAAGATGAGAAACCCTGAATTCTTTATTACTTCTTCCGTTCTATTTGAATTAAATTTCATAATATTCTTTTTACTTAAATAAATCTTTGTATTTTTAATTCATCGTAAATAAATTAAATTAAAAGTCAAGAATGAATAATTCAGCTATCTTGTGGAAATATATTTGTATTTTCCTCTATTATCTCTCTCTCTCTCTCTCTCTATATATATATATATATATATATATATATATTTTATATATATATATATATATATATATATATATATATATATTATATATTATATATTTGTATTTTTTTCTATTTTCTCTCTCTCTCTCTCTCTCTATATATATATATATATATATATATATATATATTTTATATATATGTATATATATATATATATATATATATATATTACATATATTAAGAATGAGCGAGGTTGACATAACGCAAAATGGGAGATACTTTTTAAGTACGTTCGGATTCCTAAAAACAATCATAGTTATTTTCTAATATTTTACGGAAATCGAATAAATTTGAATGTGGAAAAAATATTTTACATCCGCTTTTATTTTAGTAAAAGTTTAAGTATTATTATTATAAATTACAAATACATTTAAAGCATCAAATAAGGAACTATTTTAAGCATTTTATATGTGTTTGAAAGTTATGAAAAAATAAAAAAATTGAAAAATCATGCTTAAAGAATTACACCGTAATCTCATTTATCGGGAAAACCCAGACATCATTAGTTTTTAATGCGTCTTTTAGTGCGTTTTTAATATTGCGAAATAAAATTCAAATTAATTGGTTCTCAATTATCACGCCAATGACGTCATAGCTTGAATAGCCTATTTTGCCAAAACTCTTAGGTTTCTTTAAATTTATTAACCTGCTTGACAAACCTGATAATTTATTTTTCCTTTTAAAAGTAAACTTAATAAATACAATTGATTGCTTTTTGAATTGCTAATAAAACACACACACATTTTAGCTTTGAATATTTTAACATTTAAAAATTGTGCCTTTTTTATTCCAAAATATAGTTTTTTTTTAAAATTATAACGTAATAAATTCTAACCTTTAAATATAATTCTATTAAGAAAATGCAGTTTAAGCCAATTAGTGCAGCGCAATTCCATAGCCAAATAGTATTCACTAATCCACTTATAATTCATACAAATAAGAACGAACCATATGAAGTGCAAACTATGTTAATTTGGGTATGGAAAGGACTACAATCCGGTGAAAGATTTTCTAAATTTATTTAAATCTGGGTGGGGAAGAGGTTGTTCACTTTGCCCAAGGCAGCACAAGATACGTCTTAAAATAAAAGAATGAATTTGATAAATAATTAAACTGTTTGGTATATACATATCGGAGGTAGGATGTAGGATGTGTACATTTTTACGAGGATGACAATATATTTAAATCCTATGGTATTACATTTGTGGAAAAATGTATGCCACTTTCTCTTTTTACAAACATATATACGTTAATTTTGCTCAAGGCTGCACAAGATATGTTTCAAAATAAAGAATGAATTTGATTAATAATTAACCTTCTTGGGTACATACATATCGGAGGTAGGTAATGGGATGTGAATATTTTCACGTGCATCACAGTATAGTTAACTCCTACGTTATTACATTTGTGAAAAAATAGATGCCACATTCTCTTTTTACAAATATATATTTATATATATATATGTTCATTTTGCTCAAGGCAGCACACGATATGTCTCAATATAAAGGAGTGTATTTGATGAATACTTAACCTTCTTGGGTACATTCATATCGGAGGTAGGTAATAGGATGTGTACATTTTCACGTGGATGACAATATTTTTAAATCCTATGGTATTACATTTGTGAAAAAGACGTGTTGCATTCTCTTTTTACATGTATAAGTTCAATTTACCCAAGACAGCACAAGACACGTCTCAAAATAAAGGAATGCATTTGATACATAATTAACCTTCTTTTGTAAATACATGTCGGAGGTAGGAAATAAGATGTCTACATGTTTACGTGGATGACAATATAGTTAGCTCCTATGGAATTTTATTCATGAAAAAATAAGATGTTACATGCTCTTTTTACAAAATGATAAAGTTCATTTTTCCCAAGGCAATACTAGAATAAATAACCCGATGTTATTGGGATAATAATGGTAGGTCTTTGCGATAATTTCTAACTGCTATTGTAAAAAATCATCACAATCCATAACTTTAAAAAATATAAAGATTTTTACGTTTCTATCATCATTAAATTTTGAGGTGTTTATCTGCTATATATTATATGCCTACCCTACTCACTTTCACACTCCTAAACTACTTTTTTCCCTTCTAATCATGACCTTAAATTACCCAGTCGAAATAGTCACTAATTATATAATATTTGTAACAAAAGAAGTACATTGATTGACAATTACTAAACTAGAGAAATACTTTAGATTTACCATTTTTCGCGCCCTTGAATTGAAACTTTTGTTTCTCTAAAAACAAGATACTTCTCAAAACAAAGGAATGAGGTTGATAAATAATTAATTGTCTTGGGTAAATACATGTCAGAGGTAGGAAATAAGATGTGTAGAGGTTTAGGTTGATGACAACATCGTTAACTCATATGGTATTCGCTTTAGAAAAAGATATGTTACATTCTCTGTTTACAAATATGGGTAATTTCATTTTGCCCATAGCAATAAAAGATACGCCTCAAAATAAGGGAATGAATTTGATCAATACTTAACTCCCTTAGGTACATTCATATCGGTGGTAGGAAAAAGGATGTGTACATTTTTACGTGGATGACAATATATTTAAATCCTATGATATTACATTTGTGGGGAAAAAAAGATGTTTAATTCTCTTTTTACAAATAAACATATGTTTACCAATTAAGAAAATCAATGGCGTTAACAAACCTTGGGTACATTTATACAAGCATACCCTTAAATCTCAAAACACAATCCTTTTACACGCTTGAAAAAAAGTACTTTTGAAAAATAGAGATGGGTTAATATTTACTTTCAAAAAATGAAAAAAAAAAAAAAATTTATTTTGCAAAAAATAAAGAGGTGTCTCTTTTTATGACATGAGCAATTTAAATTTTAAAAAAAAAAAAATACTCAAGTCTATTTTAGTCGTGAAAAAAGGATGCGATATTCTACTTTATATAAAATAATTTTTTCTTTTTCTTTTACACGCTTGAAAAAAAGTACTTTAGAAAAATAGAGATGGGTTAATATTTACTTTCAAAAAATGAAAAAAAAAAAAAATTTATTTTGCAAAAAATAAAGAGGTGTCTCTTTTTATGACATGAGCAATTTAAATTTTAAAAAAAAAAAGATACTCAAGTCTATTTTAGTCGTGAAAAACGGATGCGAGATTCTACTTTATATAAAATAATTCTTTCTTTTACGTGTCAGTGATAATATATAATTTTTTTAAAGGCATAAATATGTAAACATTTTTGATGAAAATATCAATATATATTGAATCCCTGTCATATAAAATATACTGATTTCATTTATATAGGTTTTGTTGTAAATTTAAGATTAGTTTTTTTATCAATTTTTAGAGAAAAAAGTCGTAATTTAAGGGCACGAAAGGGGGTAAATCTTAAGTATTTCTCTAGCGTAGTAATTGTCCCCCAATTAACTTCTTTAGTGACAAAATAGATATATGTAGTGATAAGTTAGACTGGGAGTTTAAGGTCATGTTTAGAGGGGAAAAAAGTAGTTTAGGCGCGTGAAAGGGAGTAAGGTAGGCTCATATTATATAGCAGATAAATAATTCTCAAAACTTAATGATGATTGAAATGTAAATATCAATATATTTTTTAAGTTATGGATTGTGATAAGTTTTTGCAATAGCAGCTAGAAATTTACGCAAAGGACTTATCATTATCCGATAATATCGGGTCATTTATTCTAGTACATATAATATTATAAAGTGAAATAGTTTGGTCAACTTTTAGCCATTACACGGTCACCATTCTAAAAGCTTCAAGAAAGATTCACACACATTTATTGTGTATGCCTAATCTAAATATGTCACCCACCAGTATGTCTGCTGTTGACCAACTGATGAACATTAGCAGCAACAGCAGCCGACTCAGCATTTTGATCAGCAGTTTGTAAATCTTCAATTGGTTTCGCCTCTGCCATAAAGAAAAAAGTAAAGACAAAAATCATACATAGAAACACGAAGCTACTGTCTTGGCGTTCAATCTATACTATTGTTAATATAATCGCTTTAAAAACATTAATAAATAAATATAATTGCTGCTATGTTGTATAAATGTTACTTTTATAAGTCAACATTTAAGGAAATCATTTAAAAAAAAAAAAAGAAAAATAGATTGATTGCATTTTAAAACATTGGTTGGATTGGTCTGTCGACCTCAGAAGCACTTTGACAATGACAATAATTTTTTTATATGCCATTCCTCATGCATATTAATTTGTGAATGACATTGTTGAATATTCATGAATATTAATTCAAGATTTATGTTTGACCATTTTTTAAAATTTGCACGTAAGAAAATAAAAAAAATATCTTTACGAAGTTTTTATTTTTAAAAATGCCAACCTGCCATATTCAATCAGTTTTTTTTATTAAACCACGAATGCGCCACCACTGCAATAGATGAACACTGGATTTTCCATTGATCACCACAGATATTTGATAGACACAATCAAATGTGAAAAAAAAATATATTATTTTTTTTTAATGCACACTATCTAAACTAATCTAAAGCTATGTCATGACTTCACTAGTTGGCGAGAAGAGGAAAAAAAGATGTCCAGAGGTCAGCCTTTTCACCTCAAACAAACTGAATTTCTTCAGTACAGATTTTTATACAAGGTTTTAATATGCCAAAAGCGTGATTTGGATTATAGCGTACTAATCGCATATTCGAACACTATTAAAAAAAAAGTAATTAATTGTTTTTATGCTCATTACTTTTTGTTTATCGCTTTGTTAAAGCAAAATTTATCTTTAGGTTGAATAAAAATTAGCCTGCAATATATCATAATATGGAAAAATAATAATTTTCAACAGCTTTATTTTTTTTACTTTCTTGGGTTGATTTTATTAGTAATTATTTTTTAAAACCGTGTACATTCAACAACCATTATAATTATTTAATATTTCTCAAACGAAATACCATTTCGACTTTCACGTACTTGTTTACTGGAGTCCCGAGTCCACTCAGATTTCTCCCAGCTGCTTCTCTGCAACATTTTACATTACTTAATTTTATAGTCATAGACAATTTCATCTTTAATTCGTCTTATCGTTAGAAATTAGCCAAGTGTTAAAACTGTTTGTGTTTAAGACAAGAAGCTACATTTTTTCCACGTTGAAAGGTATATTAATACAAAATTAACCTATTTATTACTTTTTAGGCAACTAAAACACATAGTTCATATAGGATTTTCCCAATGTAACTTTTCAATGAAATTCTTATTTTTAACATGTCACTCAACTCTACTTTTAAAAAGAAGCTACTTCTTCTATATATTAAGGGCCCAAGATCAATTTATTGATCATTTTGGCTCCTAGAGGGGATTTGCAATGTTTCTGTGCCTGGTACATTTGATACATCAGTACAGTGGTAGGAAAATTGCACCTCGTTAGCGGCTCTTTAGCAAACTGAGTGCAGCTCTGCCAGTCGGCGACAAACTGGTTTACCACTATTTGGTGCTGACAAAACGAAGGCTATTCAAAACTCTAGGCCTGGTGCCAAAGTAAAATTCTATGTGCCGATAATACACACACAAAAAAAATGTGATTTATAATTTTCAATTTCATATTTAATAGTTTTTTTGTTTTTTTTATTCATAAGCATTTAATATATTGATCCTTGTAGTTTAAAATTTCAATATTTTCAATAGTCCCTTTTTTACAAATTAAGTTTTGTAATTAACCCCTCCCCCCCACTACACACACATTCTCTCATTTTTTTCCGCTTTCGACTTGAAGATGTAAGGAGAAGAAATTGATAGAATTGGCACTGCTACTTTTATACGCTGTTATGATTATTCAGGGCCGTAAGTCTGAAAAACGTAGGGAGAAGAAATTGTCACTGCTACTTTAATATAATGTTATTAGTTTGTACACAGTAAATCGCTGAAGGGACATGTGTCCCTTTTAATATATATATATATAATAGTATAGTCATACATAACATCTTTAGAATGTCTAGCTATGATATAGATTTTAAAGACACTATTTTTAACGTCAAATTTATCTCGTAATTTGCTCAATATTGTAAGATTTTCGTTTTCGACGATGAAAATCCTGGCTTTCACCTTTGCCGGGAACAGATCATCGGTTGTAAATTACCAATTACCTGGGCAAGCCGAATAAAAAATCTCCATTTACTGACCCAAACCGTTTCAAGTGGTCAGCTGGAGTGAAGCCCGTTCTCCCATTTATTCAAAAACACATTTTCTGTTATCAATTTTCACTTTCAAATTTATGAGAAATTTGACTAGGGTGCATTGAGATCCATCACATCATAACGATATATTTAAAACACTGCAGACAGACGACTAAAGATTTTCCTTCACATCTGGCTTCAATACGTGGTGACTCATTGGCCCCGGAATCGTGGAGAAGACCTAAGATCCTGGACGTCGCCTGCCATTTCTGTAAGACACGATCATTTCCGCATGCCAAATAAAGAAATAATTCATGAATCTATTTCAAAAATTACATATGTCACCTCTTGTAAATTAAAATATGACCACAATGACAAAGTGATAAAAGTAAAAAAAAAAAAATTATGTTTATCAACACTAGGCATAGATACAATCTGCATAGTACTTGCATTGTTTTCATTAAACAGACAAAGACATTTGAAGATCGATGCCTCAGTTGTGAGAGTGTGTTCGTTAAGAGATGTGATGTGACCTTTTTCGGACCTCAATGGGGAATGGGTAACTCTTTGTTATTAGCTGATGATGTTCGCTCAATGATCATTGAACAGTGGATGACATTGATTTAGCGCACATTGATGCATTTTCAGTTGCGATTGGGTGAACACGAAAATCGGATTTCAGTTAAGAGATAAAAGTGACACACCATTTTACTTACTAGTTAATAAAATGTTATCTGCTTATTTATAATCACATCACAAGCTGGACATATGAGCTGAACACATGAGCTGGACATATGAGCTGGACAAATGAGTTGGACATTTGATTTGGACACATGAGCTGGACATATGAGCTGGACACATGACTCGGACACATGAGTTGGACATACGAGTTGGACACATGAGTCGGACACATGAGTTAGACATACGAGTTGGACATATGAGTCGGACACATGAGCTTGACACGTGAGCTGGACACATGAGTTGGACATACGAGTTGGACACATGAGTCTGACACATGAGCTGGACACATGAGTTGGACACATGAGCTGGACACTTGAGTTAAACACATGAGTCGGACATACGAGCTGGACACATGAGTTGATTTACACAAAAAGGCATTATTGACACATATTTAAATGAGGACATAGATACAAGGGGGAATGACCGTTACAGAATTTGAGCAGATCTTCCACATCTTATATTCCGTAACATTAAACAACGTCACTCCGACGAACGTACACATTGAGCATGGCGAACGTACACATTTAATTATGACAAAAATACACATTAAATATCAGGACACATGAGCTGGACACTTGAGTTGAACACATGAGTCGGACATACGAGCTGGACACATGAGTTGATTTACACAAAAAGGCATTATTGACACATATTTATATGAGGACATAGATACAAGGGGGAATGACCGTTACAAAATTTGAGCAGATCTTCCACATCTTATATTCCGTAACATTAAACAACGTCACTCTGACGAACGTACACATTGAGCATGGCGAACGTACACATTTAATTATGACAAAAATACACATTAAATATCAGGAATGTACATATTATATCTGACTCATGTACACATAAAATATGTTGCATGTACACATTAAATCCTATAGTTTACTTTCCTTTCTGGGCATTTTATGAAGACCAAGATAATAATGTAACTATATTATTGGATCGCTTTTTATTATTTCGTTTTCAAATGTACGGACAATCAGCTGGACATTATTCACTATATCCAAAGTGATCTACGGATAGATTTATCTTCTTTAGTATGCAAAATGCAGGGACATATATTATTAAAAATGCTTTTTTTTTTCAAATCTCTTAATGTTTGACTTATACTCAGAACTAACTTACCAGATCCATTAAAGAACAACTTACCAGATCAATGCTAGAACTAAGTTACAAGATCCATAGCAGAACTAACTTACCAGATCCATATCAGCAGCCATGTTTTTATAAATAATTATCATTTTTAAATTCGAAATAACAAGGCGCAACACACACATTTTTAAATTTATTTATTCCGTTTTAGCTTACGTGGATAAATTATTTACCAGACCGTTCACAACTTCAAAAATGTAGCAATTTCCTCTTCAGAAAAACATGGGTGCTGGAACTCATATAAGAGGGGCATTTTAAAAGAGAAAGTCAATTTTAAGATTTTTAAAAATTCTAACAAAGAAGCCAAATTCAGAACCAAAAAGCAAACAACGGAAACTGAATATTTCTATTCAGGTAAACAATGATACAATTTGGTATCTTTTAATTTAAAAAAACAAAAAAATTGAAAGAATAATTGTTAAAATTTACCAGGATGATTTTAATATTTTAAAAATTATATATTTACCAAACGTACTTTTAACTTAACCTTTTAAAATTGAGCTGATATTGGGTAGAGAGTACACTTCGGTTGTACAAGGTTTCTCTGTAACATTTTTTTTAATTAATCGCAGCGTATTTCATTTATTGATTTATCATTTCATTAGAACTTTGCTCAATGTTATTTTGTATAGATTAAACTTTAGAATTGTGATAAATACTCCTGAATTAACGAACAAATTGATATCTTTTTAAAACTTAAATATCAAACAGGATTTTCCAAATATAACTTGTTCGGAGAAATTCTTGTTTTGAACTAAACATATTTTAAAAAGAAGTTACCTCGCCAAGGCTTGTATCTGATCTGCCGTGATGTAATATTTGTACCCAGCGTCTCCCACTAATATGGGCTGGGTGTATTACTTGTTGCTGATGTGCCGTGGTGTAATGCTTGTACCCAGCGTCTCCCACTAATATGGGCTGGGTGTATTACTTGTTGCTGATGTGCCGTGGTGTAATATTTGTACCTAATGTATCACGCCATTATGGGCCGGGTGTACTACTTATTGATGATGTACCGTGGTGTGTTGTTTGTTTGTACCCAGCGTACCTCGCTAACATAGGCTGGCTGCACTAATTATTGCTGGTGTGCCATTAGTGTCATGGCTTTTTAAAACAGAAACCAGCTTATCAAGCCAACACTGGAAGGGCGTACATCTCACTGTTCAGTAGGACATTATTTATTCAAACAGTCGTAGGATGATGTTTGCTCCTATCTCAGAAGACGTTGCCGCCAGCAGTGTGTAAGTGCTACAAGGCAGGATTTCCATTTTCTGAATGGGACACAGGACAATGGTGGCGCCAGGAAGTTATGTGTCTGTCCTTATATCTGTGCAGGACGACGGATATCGATCAGGCCCTAGACAAACTGTATTAAATAAGCTTTATGCTAATTTTCCGTATGCTTTTAGTAAGAAGGTTGTATCGGACACCAGAGTGAATTTTGATGGAAAAATAAATCCATCTCAGATTATTAGCAAGACGACAGTGTACTGGGAATAAGCAAGACTGTGTAAAGTGCGAGAAATTGTAACACATTTCAAAGTCAACAACGCTTTTGTAAATTGTAATTTAGCTTGACACAAATTAATTGTTATAGAAACACTGCAATAGAGAGAATCTTCTGATACTCATGTGTAATTAAAATAAACGTCTATATACTGAATTCTGCTTACTGGGGAAATCAATGAAAGTTTTTACCAGATCGTAATAAGTAATTACCAATGCATATTCAATACACTTGTAGGTCATTGCTTTTGATGGCATCGTGGTAATTCACCGTGTTTTAACTATAATGGGAGACGGGCCGCCATCTTTTGATTCCCCGACTTACCTAATGTACGATACTGACTCGCTTGCGTCTAATGTAGGACATTGACTCGCATTTGTCTCATGTGCGTCATTGACTCGCGTGCGTCTAATGTACGACACTGACTCGCTTGCAACTCATGTACGATAATGACTTGTCTGCGTCTCATTTACGGCACTCACTCGCATCCGTCTCAAATACGGCACTGACTCTCTTGCGTCTCAAATACGGCACTGACTCTCTTGCGTCTCAAATACGGCACTGACTCTCTTTTGCGTCTCAAATACGGCACTGACTCTCTTGCGTCTCAAATACGGCACTGACTCTCTTTTGCGTTTCAAATACGGCACTGACTCTCTTTTGCGTCTCAAATACGGCACTGACTCTCTTTTGCGTCTCAAATACGGCACTGACTCTCTTTTGCGTCTCAAATACGGCACTGACTCTCTTTTGCGTCTCAAATACGGCACTGACTCTCTTGCGTCTCAAATGTTTGGAAGCGGATCTCATAATATAAACAATAGGTTCTTTGTTATTCTCTTTCATTTACAATGCATTTTATTTTCAACTCCACGCAAGCTCTCTGGTATCATTGGTTTTTTCTCAATTATTATTCATCGTATTGTTTACTTTATAAACAAAGACTTCACGTAAAAGCATACATAATTTACTTGCCCTTAAAAGGCAAAGGCTTTACTTGAATTCAGTCAAAAGCTAATACATAGCTGTATTCTTAGAAACCAACACATGAGTGAATTTAAAGATCTTAATCTTGTTATTGTTTGTCAATTTCAAAGAAGAACTATTAATACATAATTTTTTTTTTAAAGTATGACTTAAATTTAAAAAAAAAAACAATGAAAGTAGTGCGATTGTCTCAAGATTCCTTACACAGTGCTGTGAGATCAATTGTGCAACTGTTGCAGCCTGTTTGTTCACTTGCTTAAGTCGCTTGTTTGTTTCCGTCGCGTGGTGATCACGATGTCTAACTCATAGATTAGGAATGATTGGGTACAAGTGTTTTAAAAGAGGTCTGTTTTTTAGTGTTACAGTATTTCTTTTAATACTGCGCTGTGGACATGGAATGTACATTTATTTTTTTATATATTATGTTGGTGAAAATACACTAGGAGGTAAAAAGAAAATAATGCCATACTATTAAGAAGTATCTAATGTTCAGTAAGTAAGATTTTTAACATTAAAAATAATCTTAATTGCATATAACTAAAAGAAGACCTATATTTCTTTAACATGCAGTCTTCAATGAGAATATCTGCGTTCATTGTTTTTGCTTTGATCACTTCTAATTTGAATATGTTTCAAGCGCAAACATTTCAACAGGATCGAGGAATTTTCCTAAAGTTTATACAGCAAAAATTCCTTGTATTGAAAACTCCGTTGTCTAGTTTAAATATAGCATTGCTATTTAGTGACAGGAACGGATGTGTCTCTTACTGTTTGACTTACTCGTCTTGTAAAAGTGCAAATTTTAGAATCTCCACTGGGGAGTGTTCATTGTTTGGAGTAAATAGTTGGGAAATTGAGTTCACCATCGTTTCAGACATTGATAACATTATCATACAAAAAATTGCAGACCCTGTTGTAACTCACGGAAACTGGACCTTGGTATTCAGGTAAGTATTGATAAATATGTATACATCAAAATAATTTTTACAAATTCAAAAAAATATATCAACTGAAAAATGTTCCTTATGAGGCATTAAAATTTATTAGTGGGAGAAACACTTATATGCGCGTGGTCTTAAGTTTTAGTTGTTTCTAGGTATTGTAGTTTAGTCGGCTGCAGCTTGTTTTATATATTTTTTTTTTTTTAAATTTCAAAAGTGAACTTTATTTTGACTACTTTGAATACCACCGATGTTAAATATTTAGTTATTTTAAAGAAATTAGTTTAAAAAAATAGATTCTTTTGCTATTCTATCAGGGCCTTAGCAAATATTGGCAAGCCTTTTTATGACTCTTACACTACCACATCACTGGGCCATGACCAGCCTCTAAGTCCCATGTCAATTTTGAATATGTTCCTTTGTGATCTTACTATTTTATTTGCATTATATAAGTTAAGTTAATTCACGCAAAAAAAAAAAAAAAAAAAATAAATAAATGATGTTTCAAGGTATTCGAGTGAACCTGCAACTTGTTTCATATAAACACACTAAACAAAGTTTGTTTCTTATCTCAAACAAGCAATTTTTTAAATTTTTGAATAATACGTATCTCAAATAAGTTTATGAAAAAAAATATTCTCGTTTATTCTCTCAGGGGTTTAGGAAATATTGACAAATCTGTGTATGACGCCTACACGCACACATCACTGGGCCATGACCAGCCTCTGAGTCCCATGTACACGATTGGATGTCTGCGACTGGACACGAATCTGTCATGTGACCACCACTTCCGTAGCAATATCCTAAACAAATGGTCAAACCAGACCATCACTGAGGTAAGATCAACAACAACAACAACAATTATCCTAAATATTTAGTTTTTAAATGTAATAAACTCAAAGCTATTTTATGTTCGTATCACTAATGATGGACTGGTAAAATGTAGTCATGCAGTTAACAGAGCATTAAAAAAATATAACAGATAACTAGGCAAATACAGGTTTCTGTTTAAGTACGTCTAACTTCCAGGAGGGAGGGTGGTGGTGTTTGGAGGTACCAAGATATTCATCCTAATACACTGATCGTTGTTTATCCTTAAAAACTCTTGCTACGCACCTCTTTAATAGAAAAACTATGTTTCTCTCTTTGTCTCGAATCGTTATAGCAATCTCTCTGCAGCTCTATGGCCATCGGCTTATTTAGAGTCACTTTTAGAGACGTTTCCCGAAAGGGTTTCGAAAAGACTTTAAACTATACTTGTCACCCAAAGTTCACGCACGAGACGTATGAAAAATATGACGTAAACGCAATGTAAACTAGGTCAACTTCCACCGTAACACTTTATATAATATATGTTCCTTCTAGAACAAGGTTTATTTTACTTCTCAGCCAATGATGTAGACTCATTTGCTGTAACACGCTTTCAAAAAAAAAAAAAAAAAAAAAAAAAAAAAAAAAAATATATATATATTTCATGTTCAATTGTATTTATTTTTAAATGTATTCATTGCTAAACACTGACAATCAATATAACATCACAGGGTTCCATTATTGCAAGTGCAACACTTTTTAAACATATATTGACTTATTTTAATCAAATATTTGTATCGGTCCCATCGCCCGCCCATTTGAATTGTTTTCAAATAATTTTTTTTAAAAAGGAAACTATATAAATGTTGTTTTAACAAACCAAATTAACTAAGGAGGGGGGGGGGCGGGAAAGGACTACGCTTAGGGGACTTTTTTTTAAAACTTATTTACTCTTTAATCATAATCTAAGGATTAATGTTATTTCTGATGTTCATTGACAAATAAAATACTAACACTGATCTGCTTACGAAATAATTAACGTTATTAAATTTAATTCAAATAATACACTTGTCTTCCGGAAAAAAACTGTTTACCTTTTAATTTACCAAGATCTAAATATAACTTTAAAGTGTGAGACCACCGTTTCGTTAGGTTTTTTACGATTTTTTTTTTTCAATATTCAGACGTCCTAAGACGAAATGAATACAGCCTTACGTTTGACTTTCCATTCGTTTCATTTCTAGGTCAAGTTTGGAATCTATAAAGATGGCGTCATGGAAAAGTTCTTTCTCTTCAATGGTTCCTCGTCAACGCTTCTCAGCTGGTTCTCGTCGGCTAATTTGATAGACAGCTCCTGGAGTGACCTGACGAGGTCACCAATTAGATCCTTCAGCATCCAGGGCTACGCGGACCCCAATTCCGTGCGTCGTATGTACGTCCAGAAATATGATCCAGGCTGCGATGTCGACACCGGCTGGTTCGTCTGCGTTGACAAGGCGACAGACTGGTGCCCATGGGGAAGGAAAGGACCCACTTTCCCGCGATTCCTCTACTCTCCCGCCAACACCAGTGCCTGCAACAAGGACATGACGGCTGCGGAAATCATCGCTATTTTTATCAAATTTTGAAATTTGTTCACGAACAAATCAGTTTTTTAATGAAAATATATCATATTAATTTACAAGCGTTCGATTAAATTTTAATACAAATTGAACCTGGTTGAAACATGTGATGATTTCATTGGACGGAATTAGCTGTTGTTTCTTATTGAACTCAAACACTTAAAATTGGCTTATGATGTTCCAATAAAAACAACAGTTGTGTTACGGTATTCTTTTCTCCTGGCGTAATTCATTTATACTGGCAGAAAATTTAGAGATTACTAATCCGCTTATTTTTATGAATAACCGAAAAAAAAGATATAAGACAGAACACGACACAAATAATACAATATAAGATAATCAAACATAAATAAGATAAGACATATATGATAATCAAGGTAAAAAAACGCCCATAAGTCAGTATGACAATGCATGTCCTGCCCTCTTTGATGCTACTTCTAAGCTAAGTGCTATTTTTTTTTTAAATTTTCATTTCATTCTTTTTTTTCTCTATTATTCTTCGTTTTTTTTGTTGCGTTCCTTTTCCAGGTTAAACCTTACTTTGTTTTATTAATTTCACATTGGCCTTATTGTGTATGATGATGCTCTGTACGACAATGCCCTGTTTCACAATGCTCTTATCACACTATGCGTCACACTATTTTATATATAAACTTATCAGAATTTTTGCGTTGTCAATTTTTATTATATTTCTAAGATATTTACTTAGGGTCATCACACGTTTATTTTTTGGCGTTTTTTTATATATATATATTTTTTTTTTTAAAGTTATATTTATTGTTATGTTTTGTCCGCTGAAAGTAGACGTCAAGCTGAAAAGTCCGATCCAATGTCACTTTGTCAAGTCTATTTATTTAAATAATAACTTTTGGTTAATACAAAATCCAAGTGTTGATTAGGGAAAAAAATAAATTTTAAACATTGACTTCACGTGAATCTTTATTTTCCAGCTTAAGAAATATGATATGAAAATTTAAATAAATAAATTATAATTTATGAAAAGTTAAGATTTTATCGGGCACATAAATAATGCAATAAGTTGGAAGGTGAATTGTCTCTTTTCTTAACATATGGATCCTTGCAAATATAGGTTGTTGGATGTTTTGAGTAAAATATGTCACATATATTTATTTGTAATGCGTATAATAATGTCCGTAATGATTTTTCGCTTCTTAATATCAAACATTTATTTTTTTTTTTTAAATGAAAAATCCCTGGATAATTATAAATGAGCACGTTCAAACAAGATATTCCAAACGGCTTTTCTCTTTTTAATGTCAGAATAACAAACAATGTTTCCCATCCAATGGCATGGCACTCATTCTTTTATGTTAATAATTTTATTTTAGATGAGAAACAAGTATAAAGCTAATATTTTTGTTTTGTGCATCGACATTTCGATTATCATGACAACTCCATTTTTTCGTACGTGTTAAAAAAAAAAAAACAACTTATTCCTAATTTTTCAATTTAAAATAGATAATGTGGATGGAGATAAACATATTTTAAAGTAAAGCGAAGAGGCAATTTGAGAAAGTTACAGTAGTTTGAAATTCCAAATAAATATTTCAAGCTACTGAATATTGGGGAAATTTATACTTTATTTGCATACGGGATCCCCTTAGTTAAAACCACAATTTAGTAAATATAATGCTTTCTGTAAACAACTCATGTCTTCTTAAAAATAGTTATGCCACCCATACGCAAATTTATACAAATGACCAGTTTTCAAAACTCATAAAAATGTATAGACCTTATAATGAACTTGTTGTTTTTTAATTTTCTTTTTGACACTTGTAAAATTAGGCAATATTTATAAAAGGTAGTCTAAGCATTATAATCATAAGTAATTTTTTTTTCTATTCGCATTCATCATATACACTAATGTTTCAAGTGCATTTTAGTGATGGAACTCTTGTTAATGAATTTTTAAAAATTTTTTTTATTTATTTTTTTTTTGGTGAAAATTCATTTATTAATTAAGTGGCTTTCCGTAAATAATAATGTAAATAATAAACGAAATCCACATTACTATTTTTAGTTCAATAATTATTTTCATTATTTTGTTGTTGTTGCTTTTTTCTTCTTTCTTTGCATAACACAAGCAGGTCAAGTAATATCCGTTTTGCCAACCCTTGCATGGAAAGATAATCATTAAGAAATTTTCCTGATCACATCTTTAAGCTAATGAAATATTCGAGGCACCTTTCAGTCGTAGGGGCTGCTGAAATGTCCGAGGCACCTTTCAGTCGTAGGGGCTGCTGGGCGCACACGATGGCTTTAAGGTTAGGTGACACCCACATTTTAACTTGGATCGTCTTCCGTTGCTCTCCAATTAAGTGTAGAATGTTGCGAAACTCAATTCAGATATTTGAAAATATGCTTTCTTGTATTTTGAATTTATTAAAAAATTTCTGGGGACTATAATTCTTTGAGGGGGCGAGATTAACCTAGGTCCAAAGCGTATCTTCAAGGGTGACATAACTTGAGTGAATATAGATTACGTCCCGCTGGTTCGAAGTTTAAGATGTCTTTGGTCATTGTTATGGCTAATTTTGCCATTTCCCATCCGAAAGTTTGAAATGCCACCTCAAAAGTATCTGAAAGAAACAACAAATTCAAATATTCGCCAAAAATATGCACCGCTGCATTGTGCACCCCTTTTCTCACGCTGATCAATGGTACAGTATGGGGTTGATCATAAGCTTGTGCCTAATGATTACTCTGAGGCACGCCACAAACGGAGTGAATTCATTTCATATAAGGCACTTGGCTAAATAATGCCTCCCACAAAAATTCAAAAATTTTCTTTCCTGTTCAAAAGGTATAATAGAAACATCGAATTCAAGTATCATAAAACAAAAAACTCCTCTTGATTTTGAAATAATCAGAAATTTTCTGGGGATCAAGCTTCCCAAACCCTTCCACCGAGCAAGATTTATCGGCCCCATCGAATAACGCCCCTACTTCTCGATGAACATTATCGCCGATTTTGGTATCGATAGATACGTCGCCTAGTGGCGTAGCTACCATTAGTGCTCCCATGAGAGGGCAAATATTGTTGCTTTCCTCCCTTTCACGATTCAAACTCTGCAGTTGTCCAAAACTGCCACACCAGCATATAAAGAAAAAATGACACCTGGGTGGACAACTCAATCCGCCCTATTTCGACCCCACTAGCAGTGGGGTAACTACAGTGTGTCGCGTTCAGGGGACAACATACATTTGTACGAGCCCTCAAACTCTGAAACCAATAATTTTCAACCAATTAATCCCATCAAAGCCCAGTTTTTTCACCCCGCCCACACAAGTCTTGCGCCCCAGGACTTATGTTCATATGTCACGCCTTAGCTACGCCTTTTAACACTGGCAACTGGCATAGCCCGCCCACTTGCCGAAATTATGCCCCCCCCCCCCCCCCTTTATTACTCGCCTACAATGTACCAGTAGCAGCAAGGCTATTTCTCAGTTATGGATAGAACTAATGAAATGTTTAGAACGAAACAAAGGGTTTAAAGCAGTGGTTCTCAACCTTCCTAAGTCCGCAACCCCTTAATACATTTGCTCATGCTGTGGCGACCCCCTACCATAAAATTATTCTCCTTGCTACTTCACAACCCTAGAGTATATGTTTTCCGATGGTCTTAGGTAACCCTTGGAGAAATGGTCGTTCGACTCCCAAAGGGGTCGCGACCCACAGGCTGAGAACCGCTAGTTTAAAGACTTAAATTTAAAAAATAGGTCTTTCGTTGCTTTATATTTCAATTTTTTTTCTACATGAAATCGATTTTGTTTTTAATTGACCTGAACTGATCGATATCATTGTTTTTTGTGGGGTTTTTTGGTCAATAAATTCCTGGACTCATTGTTTGCCTCGGAAACATAAGACTTTTGTAAAATTATACATTAGTTATATGGCTTTAGAATGCCTTTTAGCATTACTTGCACGAATTCAAAGCCCATATATAACTTCAATGATATGTTTTGCAGATATTTACTGTGTTTTCTCTCACAAAGATCTTAACCTAAGAATGGCTGATCCATGCGAAGGAATACATTTCACTACATGATTTTATCAGTCTGTCAGCTTTGTGTTTTCGTCAGCTTAAGTCATTTTGTTGGTTTCAGCCGCTAAGGAAACTGATGTCTGATAACCATGTGTGGAATGATTGTGTAAGAGGCAGTTCTGAAGACGGCCTGCTGTGCTCAGCAGTCTTTCTTCAAACATCACGCTTCAGACCTTAAAACGTAAACGTATCGTTTATATATAACGGACATGAAAATAATCTAGGTGCTACTAAAATAATACTTTAATATTCAGAAGCATCTAGTTTTGCATTGGTACACTTGATACGTTTTAAATTAAGCTTAGTAATTAAGAATTAAGACACCAAACAGGTTGAGCCATTTCTCTCGATCATGCAGTCTGCAAAGACAACATTAGCCGCATTTCAATTATTTTGATCACCTCACATTTGAATATGTTTCAAGCGAAGACATTTCCACAGCATCGAGAAATATTCTTTAAGCTTATACAGCAAAAATTCATTGTATTAAAAACTCAGATTTCTTTTTTCATTACTTTCAAGTGACAGGAACGAATGTGTCTCTTAATGTCTGACTTACTCGTCATGTAAAAGTGCAAATTTTAGAATCTCCGCTGGGGAGTGTTCATTATTTGGAGTAAATAGTTGGGAAATTGTGTTCACAATTGTTTCAGACGTCAATAACATTATCATACAAAAAAATAGCAGACCCTGTACTAAATCACGGAAACTGGACATTAGTATTCAGGTATCTATTGAATAATTTAATTTTTAAAATTGTCAATTTTGAATATGTTGCTTTGTGATCTTACTAATTTATTTGCATTATATAAGTTAAGTTAATTCAGACAAAAAAATAAATAAAAATAATTACTTATCTCAAGTAAATTTTTGAAAAAAGTTTTTTATGGTTTATTCTCTCAGGGGTTTAGGAAATATTGACAAATCTGTGTATGACGCCTACACGAAAAAAATCACTGGGCCATGACCAACCTCTAAGCCCCATGTACCTGATTAGGATGTCTGCGACTGGACACGAATCTCTCATGTGACCACCACTTTCGCAGCAACATCCTCAATATGGGTCAAACCTGACCATAACTGAGGTAAGGTCAACAAAAATAAAAAATCTCGTAAACATGTTGTTTGTAAATCTAATGAACCCTTCTCTATTTTAGACTCTAATCCCGAATAATAGACTGATATAAAGTCATCACGTAATAAAAACGGGGATAAAAATAGAACAGACAAATCGTCTAGATTTCTAATGCCACAAACCTAAATGCCTGTGGCTGGTGTGATGGTGTTACAAATACGTACATTCAAATTATGTGATCTATTTTTATTTAACATCACATTACTTTAAATTTCTATTACAGAAGAACATTTGTTTAAACTTATCAGT